TTTAGAACATTCTTTTAAAATCTGATATTTTTAGATAGGTGGACAATAAATCTTTAGAATTTTTGTATTGACTTTAAGAAATAACATTTTACTCCGTAAGTGTCCCAATGACCTGTTCCAAATTTTATAACGAGTGTTTGTTTACCTAAAACGCACACACCAATAAATGACTTACTTTTATAGATGTTTAATTCACTTTGTTTTTTTTCAATCTGTTAAATTCAGCAAATAAATAGTAAGTGTGCATTAAGATGTTCAGAAATGTCTCATGTTTAAGCTTGTGTCCTGCAGAGGTTGTATTAACTTTTCCCGTAGAGAAACATGCAATTTTGACCAAGTTTGGTGCCCACATTTTTGCATACAACTATACGAACAAAACTAGGTTACACAAACAGTCATTTACAAGCTTCAGCACCTCACCCAGCTGGATTTTCTGAATCAATGCACACAATGCGTTCCCCCAACCATTACTAACTACCAGTAATTACTATCTATTACTATTAGTATTAATAGTATTAGTATACTATTAGTATCCCATATTGGATGTACAGTAGTGATTTTCTAAAGAAGATAAAAAACACTCCATTATTTATCAGACTGCATTGTTTATCAAGTGCATTATGTATTCATTATTCTTAGTCAATAAGAAATTGCAGAAAATTGTGAAACCTATTTTCACAAGTAATACAGAATAATCAGGGGGAAATAAAAATATAAGTAATGGTAACTTCTGGCAACACAGAAATGTCGAAAGTTCAGACTTATTTGCTATTCAGCCGCTTCTGAGACGTTGAAGGGCAGTGGCTGTAGTTTGCAAAATGTCCTAAAGCTCCATATTTAAGAAGACTTTAGTATGTTGACATTTCATGAGACCCACCATGTTTAATAGGATTTAAAATGCGTTTCTGGAAGAATAAAACAGTCATTCAATATTACTCTTGCTGCCATGCTTTGATTGAATGTGGCTCTTTTAATCACTGCTTCCACTGTGAGGTTTAGAAAGCAGTGGCTGCAGCAGCTGAATGATAAAATAAGATCGCCCTTATTTTTGCTATTAAAAAGCAGCCAGCTATAAAACTACAAGATACAACCCTCCCTAGGCCACTACATCTTCAAGGTACATTATATAGGGCACTTTGCACTTCGTGTATACCTTAAAAGGGAGATCATTTCACTTGTAATGTCTCATACTGTATGTCTATGTGCCTTAGCAACAAAGTAAATGGCAGCATTTTAAACAGAATGCAAACATCCTTAAGTAATGAACTACAAGTAGAGTTTCATGATTAACCCAAGAAATATCCCTTACTATTAATGTGATGATTCACTTGGTCCGTTCTTCAGATCTGAGCTGAGAAAGAGAATAAATAAGGAAACTGAGACTTGACTCAAGTCAAGTGTTTATTTCATGCTACATTTTTTTTAACCTAACAGATTTTACTGCAATGCATGCTGGTCAGATTAGTGGGAAGTGTGATTACAGGTCAGTGACACTGTCTGAATTTTGTGAGTTTAAGTCTGCACCCTGGAGATACAAAAGTATGATGTGTTTCGAACGTACAGTATGATGTCGTAGGTTTTTGGCAGTTGTTGAACTACACTGATAAAGACATTGTAATATTTAGCAAATGTTGGTACAGTACATGGAACCTGTATGTTCTCTTTTCTCATTCATCTTTATTTGCCTCCTGTTTTTTTGGGGATCGTGCCTCTCAAAGACCTATTACGCTTTAGTCATTTAAACATTTTCAGTCCACACTATTGTTCAGAATCCTTTAGTTGTCAGAGAAATAAAAGAAACACACAATGCTTGAGGAAAATCGATGACAGTGTAGTTTGTGAATATGCACTAAGTAATAGCTTCGAATTGGGCAACACTGAATAGGAATTTTGAGAAATCTTTATGTCGGTTACTTAGCTTTAACATTTATTTGTATACAACATATTATCATCAGCAGCACATCACTTTCAATAATCAAGTTCCCAATTCAGAGTCACAGCAACCCTGAGTCTATCCTGGGATGCACTGGACACAAGGCAGGATACACACTGTACAGGATGCCAGTCCATTGCAGGGAACACAAACATGCACACACTCACACCAGTGCCAGTTTTATGGAAGCCAACTAACTTACTAGCATGGCTTTGGACTGTGGGAAGAAACCAGAGCACCTGAAATAAACCTGCATGAATACCATGCTGCCCTATAACATAGTATGTGCTATTATTTTTTTTCTAGACCAAAAGAAAAGTACATGCTTGAAGAAAAAGATGTAGCAGTGAAATTGTAGAGAAATACTGTAGCCAGAGCAGGAGAAAAGAGATTGCTAATAATATTGTTTTTATGTTGATGATGAAGTTCGTTATCATTCGATCCACCCGGGATGGGACTATAACTGTTGTAAGTAACACTAATAATAAGGATTACAGTTGTAAAGCAGCATAGCAGCCAAGTTTGTTTTACACTGTGGAACAAAAGTACTGAAAAAAGTCTGGAAAACCCTTTCATTTGCATCCATAACCTTCTCTGATCGCGAATCTGTTTCTTAATTTCTGGAGCTGTTAATGACGGTGCTGCTGAATGGATAATTGAAACGTCTCCCTGAATGCAATTATCTCACCCTCGGTGGTGTGTGATGTGTTGCAAGCAACACCTTGGATGGTTTTAGAAAAAAAAAAGTGACTCAGTCTCACATGATTTGAGTGGTGTATAAATAGTACGAATCTCAGTGCGTCTGGCGTAGTGGAATCACGATGCAAGAGTATTTGCTTGTCTGCCAAGAACTGTACAACCACCACTGTCACAGCACAGCGAGCACCATGACTTGTTCTTTTTGCCTGTGCCTTCCTTGCTTGCCGATACTCGCTCACAACACTGCTGGACATCAGTCCCTCCTGCTGCCTGGATCCTCACAGCAAACTGTCCTTTCATTTACATCCCCCTTTTTGCTTACGCACGATTTACGTGCCAGTGCTTTGACGGGCAGATGTGGGGAGCCTGATGATTAAGTTACCCTTGGCATGAAAGTCAGTTTCTCTTTACCCTTGTCAAAGATGTCATGGTGTCTCGATACATAGTGAAACCTTCTGGAGTACAACACTGTAGAACACAGTTCCTTCACCTTCCCTGCATAGGCTGGGAGGTATTTAGAGTGGACAGGAATGGGCATAACAGTGTAAGGACAGACTCAGGTGTTTGTGAAGAAAACCTAGGATACTGTATATCCTATTGCAAGAGAGGAAAACTTGGTTCAACACTTTTTCTGATTGCAAAGTATGAATTAGTTGGAATATTGTTATGCTTTATAATAGCTGTTTTGGATTGCTTTCCTTCTAATATATTTTTTTATTACACCTGCATCTATTAGGAAGACTTATTTATTTGTTTGTTGCAGGAAGAAGTGTACTGTATATGCAGTACACTTCTTCCTGCATATATGCAGGATATGCGTGCTATATGTACTGTATTCATTATTCACAGTTTAGGATTTATGTGATATGCACAGTATATATTATTTATGAGATTTAGGTTTGTTTTCTACTGCAGTTTCTGTAATTTCAAATGTGGCTGTGATATATTGCAGAATGTTTTTGTATTCAAGGGTCCTTATTTGTGTATAAAATTGCAAAAATCAATCATTCAGTGACAGAAATTATAGACGATGATGAGCACTCAAGTGAAAACTAGGAATATGGTCAGTAACTGTTATTACATTATTTTGTTCTGGAATATAGAATATATTCTAGAATAGCTTATCTTGCTATTTGTCTTTGTCATTTACTCCTTAGCCATTCTTGTCAGGTAATCAATACATTCAATCCAGTGGTGAGTTTCTTTGAATTTTTCCAACAAACTAAGAGTGAATGACTTCCCTTCTATGGCTCTGTTCATTCTTACAGTGATTGGTAGACCAGAATGTCCTGGAAATACAGTTCTGTGGTATCTTGGTGTTTCTATGTTCTGTGGTTAGTGGTCAGTTTGCTCTCCATTTCTGTGTTTCTGACATGGTCAGAATTGAGCACAAATTCAAATTGAAATGCTGCATCAATCTATTTCAGTTCTCACAAAAACCTGTCAACTGAAACAAATCCAAAATTAGAAATGAAGAACTCTCTTCTGGTGCCTGTGTTAAACAACAAGAAACTCCTCATTTAAAACCAACTAAAAAGTTTGTTGATATTCATTACTAAATATTAAATGTATTGTCATCAAAGGGTTATTATGCTGTCATTATTTCAATACTGCTGATATATCACAAAGTATTTAGAAATTACTGCAGCAGAATAATTAATCTTAAATTTTAGATCACTTTCCTAAACAATAACCTAATTAATGCATTTTCTGTGAAGGCCAAGAAAACCAACTGTTGAGAAACTCATTCTCAGAATGAAACATTTTCCAGCAGATTTGGTAGCCACCTGGAATATACCTTTCCCATCCAATTTGGAAACGTGTGCCCCTCTCCATTTTACAAAACAGCTGTTGTACTCCAACTCCACAGTTTCCTTCTTGGAATCTGACTCCTTAGGGGTTTCTGAATTTACAGATTAGGTAATCTTATTAAGGTAATAATGACTGGTTTCCAAATAAGGCACAATACTAGTTTAAAAAGGTATGTATCTTGCATAGCACATTCGCATGGACCTTTGGGCTTTCAATAGAATCCCATTTCTCTTGATTAATATCCCACAGATCTAATTAATTTGTGACCAGATCTGACAGTATTTTTTATTGCATATTCATACACAGTATTGACTTCTGCGTAATATGTTGTCATGGGCAAGGAGTTCTCACCCATGGTCACCTTCTGCCCCCCTCTCTCAGCTGAAGAACTGGCACAGGACTAATTGCATCGCTGGCTGTGATGTGCTTGTGAACCTGGGGTGTCATTTTGAACCTTGAACCCTCACAATCTTCATACAAAATGCTGCTGGCTTGTCATTTATAAATGAGGTTTATTTTGAAAATCAATTGTAGACTTTCTATTATATTTCTTAAGCGCATTGGATTGCAGACGGGCGTTCAGCTTCCAGCTTGGAAATGATGGCAGCGAGAAATACGAACACAGTCAAAGGTGAAATTGAATTTCTCTCAACCCTCAGTGGCATATTGAAACAGAGCTTTAATTAGGTGACTCGAGGTTTCTTTCTGCCTATTCCTTTCAGTTTCTTTTTTTGTATGCAGGTCTTGTGTTGTAAGATTTCGGATATAATTGTATTTATATTTGCGTTGCAGGCTGGGCAAAAAAAAAAATATTTAGTCATTCCCTTTAGTTGAAAAAAGGGCAAGGTGTCTGTATGTTGACCTTCTGTGTCTTTAAAAAAACACAGTTTAGAAATACTTTTGAATTTGCTGTATGTTGTTACCACACAGTTCGGTATTGTTAATTGCTTATTATTAAGCTTTATGTTGACACCCCCTCTATTACAGGAGAATGAGGACATACAGTAGCCTTACAAAATGGCCACTTCTGAGGTCCTTTCAACTTGAAGCATACTGCTAGCTCCACTGAACCATAGATCACAGTTAATTCAAAATGGAGGAGCGATGTGATTTTGACTAATGTCAATTGAAGTTTACAGGTGTCTGGCAAGCCCCAGGAATCACTGTTGTGCCAACAACCATGGGTAACCCTGGCTGACTGATAACCATAACTATTCCTCTTATGTGTTTTTATTATTTGAAACTTCTTTTGACGTGTTTTTTTTTTTTCCCTAGGCAATGATCTATTGTATTTTAATGAGGATTTCATACTGTGCTTTTTATGTTGTGGTTCGTCAGCCACCTGTATTGCCTCAGTCTTAGAATGACAAATGACCTTCTAATTAACAACAATCGAAGTGTGCGTCTGTAGATAAAAAGTACAAAGTACAAAAACTACAACTTTAGGTAACTCCCATTTACAGAAATTAAAATCCATGTCTTTGAATATATGCCGTTTCCTCGAAGTGTTCATATATTTATATGTTATATATATATATCTATCTGACAAAGTGTATGGGCAGGCCTGGGGTGGAATATTATTGAGTAGGTTGGCTGAAATCTCAAATTCCATACTAATGAAAAAACTACACAATTCTGCAACCTCTTGATTCCGCCCAGTGCTTAGGTTATTAAAAATGGCATTGATTACTACAATTGCAGTTGAGTATTTTCTGTATCTACAATAAAAATAGAAATATAGCAACATTAGTTGTAGGACCTTCAGGTAAGGTTCTTTAAAATTAGATATTTACTTAAGTACTGTCTCGATATTGTATTTTAAAGTTACAAAATAAATTCAGTGTAGGTTGTTTGCAGGGGGTAGAACTAGTACAGAGTTCAATGTTTTTCTCTGTTTTTTTAAATGTGTAATAGCCAGTTATTGTATTTTATGGTATACCTACCCAATTTAGAATTTGTAGCAGTAGCTCCTGCCTTCGTATCTGGCAAGCCATCGGATTATATTGAAAAATGAGAGGATCCTGTGGACTAACTAGCATGTTGTCCAAGCTCTGCTCTGTCAGTTTTGATGTCATGGCTGAGACTGTGATGTCTGAGCCACACAACTCAGCCTATTCCTGGAGCAAAGGCCTTTACTAGTGAAACCACTGAGGAGCCCTTAATGCAGTGGTGATTTTTAAGAGAAAAGATAGGAAAGAAAATGAAAATAGTGTGGAAAAGAGATATAAAATAGTGCTTATACTTTATATTTAGACCTCAATGTCTCAACAAGTCCATGAGAAATCAGTATTATGAAGGAAAAAGTGACTTTTGTCTTTCAGTGTAGTGCTGACTCTGTTTTTAAATATATCTGTGGCCTGTATGATAACTTCTTTTCTTTGTGTACTGCTAGTTGTTGTGTTCAGTAGCAAAGTAGGAACTTTTGTCCATCTGTTGGGAGGGACATCCACAGCAGTCCACACTGATATGCTGAGGGTTTTGTGTGTTTATACAGGCAAGATGCCTGCTGCAAAGTGAAAAATATGAATCTTTAATTTTTTAGGCTGTTTTTTGTGAACTTAGTATGTTTGTACAAACACACTGATAACTCTGCATATATTTTTGCAGCTGGGGCTCAAGACAAGATTGGCTGGGCATTCGGTCTTGGGCTGGAGAGGCTGGCCATGGTTCTTTACAAAATTCCTGACATCCGACTCTTCTGGAGTGAGGATGAACGCTTCCTGAAGCAGTTCTGTGTGTCCCATATTAATCAGAACATCACCTTTCAGGTAAAATCATAACATCACACAGCTTAGTTTGTTTTCTATTGGAATGGCAAACAAATCATGCTTTCCAGTTTCTGTTGAAATATAGGTTATTTTGCTGAAAGTTAGTTTCCTGAGAATTGAGACCCATAGAGGTACAACTTTCCTTAGGCTGGGAAAGCTCAGCTAATAATTCTGTATAATTTTTTAACACAACTAGATGAATAAGGATGGTTGGATACTCAAACTGGTTCTTAATTAATTGCTTTTCCAGATATCCTTATTAGACATACAGTGTCAAATGATTTTCCTGCCAAAAATATTTGCACTGAAGTGTTATTCATTGCAGTGAATATGTGAATGGAGCACGTTTGAATATTTGTGGTATATTTGTGACAGGGTGACAATTTTTGACATCCTTGCTGTGAACATTCCCTGCTTCCATGTACTATTTCTCTTTTCTCCACCGAATGTGGATTCTATATTTTTCCCCTTTCCTTTTCCTTTGCAAATCCTTTGGTATATTTTCAGCTTACCCACACTTACGGACTATACCTCATTTTTTCCCCAGGACAAAATCAAGTACTGATTTAATTGGCATTTTATGCATAGTGTGTAAATTATCACAGAAACCAGTTTTGGGGAAGGCACAATGTTTACCTGGTGAAGGTGGAATTGAAGTCATATATATTTGGAATAGAAACCTAACATTTTCTAGTAAGCTGGTTTACTAAAATACTACCAGCTTGGATTAATTAGGTTAATGAGCCTTTGCAAACCAAATGAGTAATAAAAGCTAAACTAAAGGAACAAATGAGTCCATATTTTACCTCTACATTTTTGCCCCAGTATTCAGTATGTACAGTACATGTTGGGCAATTTACACAGATGGTATTTTAAGTCCAGACAAAATTGATATTTGCTAAAAAGAGTTTAAGGGAGGCAATGCTCTATTCTATGACTCTTTGTCTGGGTGCTCAGTATGTGTTTTGTGCTTTCTACATATTTTAAAAGAACTGAAGATACAGTAGTAGAGAATACCTTTTTGAGAATGTTCTTATTTGTGTTTCAGGATACACAGTCCCAGCTGTCTGTAGCCTTCTTTGATCTAATGATGGATGTGTTTGTTAAGTTTTAAGGATAGCTACAGCCATCTCATTTAGGCTGCTCTCTGCTTTTCACCACGCTATTGCTTATTTAGAGCCGTCATTTTTTCTTATGTCTTCACCCACCTCAGTCTTTATTCTCTGTTTCTCACTCAGACTCCTTCCTTCCATGTTTTAGTGTTATTCCACAAGCGATTAAGTGAAAAAACAAATTATTGTGCACCAGTGGAGAAGCATGCTCTGTTTTGCTAACAGCTCTCTCAAGTGCAACAAAACAAGAAAGAAACTGCTAACTTTCAGCCTAGTCCTTATTTTGATGATATTTTTATGATTCTAGGACTTTTAATGAGTTTTAAAAGTCATCCACTAAGTTTAAGTATCCACTACGTTTTTATTACTTATAGTAATCAGAATATGTCTACTATGTATCTTACTGTATTTTTGCAGCTTGGAAACCAAAATGTTGAGCTTAAAGTTTAAATACCATAAAACATTTGTTGGTGGGAAAAACTACATGTTTAGAGTTTTCAATAAAAACAAAATATCCACTAAACTATTTTTCAGTTGCCGTATAATAATTAAAAATATAACTATATTTAATTTTGTATATAAAATATTTGCATAACAGCTTATTTCGACATCTAAGACTGTTTTTTGTGGTATCTAACATTAAATTACACAAAACGGTTCTCATCGCAAAGCTTTGAGCTTATTTAGATCCTATCTTTTTAATAGATAATTCCTGCTGCCTTACTTCACCAGTGTTCCTGCAGGTTCTGTTTTGGTACCTTTGACAAAAGGAACACTTTTCATCCATATATTTCATATCAGATTATCCAGATGCATGGTGCATGGTATACATTTAATGTATAAACTATCAAAAGTTGAATACCCAATGTTTGTACTGCATCTGGTTCTAATATTGCTTTATTGGTCTTACCATTAGGGAATTCTTAATAAAACCTTGCCCTATGGATTTGGACAAATATGAAGTGATATTGCCTGTATTAATCTGGGACATTTTGGATCCCCTTTTAACTTCTGAGGCTCTTTTCTGCAGTATTACACACATAAAATTTTCTATCGTTATGACTGCCTTTGCATTTAATTGAGGCTGACCGATTAGTTAATGGTTTTATTACTTCTGGATTACATTACTGTAATACTCTTATTGCTCCATATTATTATATTAAAGATCTATTCAAACTGTATAACCTTCCACATAAACTGTATTGAATTGAAGTTGGTATGTTAATTGTTCATAATTCCAGATTACACATTCTGGTTAACAACATGTTCTGTATTTATGCACTATAATATCTTAGAATAATTCATGCCCATTTTAGAGATATGGGCAGGTAGGATCTGAATACACAAAGCAGAGGGAAACAGTAACTGGAGACCATGAAATGCTTTTATTGTTTTCAGGACTGTTGTCACTACATATGGCACTGCAAGTACATTGGCTTCCATAAAAACAAACATAATACATACTGTAATACCACAATACTGTACATACTGTAGCTTGTTCATCAGAATATGAGCTTTGTCATATTCTGTTTGTGAGCTGCTTACTGACACAAAACATACTGTAAACACCCACAGAGTTATATAGGAGCCAAAGTATTATATTACAGTATTATTCACCGTCTTTTTAAGTCACGGGCTTTCTTTTCTGTCTCTTGGTTTTCTGCTTGGCATCTCTCACTAGTCTCACCATCTGGCCTACTTGAGTTCTACTCCCATGAAGCAGAACAACCTTATTTGTTCTCTTCCTGTTTGTATGTCCCTCAGTCACTATCCACCTGTCACAGATAGCTGAGGAGGCTGGGTAGTCTCCTGAACCCAACTCATTCCTGCACTGTGCAGTGTTAGGTTGGCACATGAAACTAACACTCATTGATAATCACAAACACGGGAAGAACACACAAACTCCTTGTAGGCCCCAGGGATGCCATGCAGCAATGCACTACCATGCTCTCCATTATTTTTTTTAATTCAGTAATAAATTACATTTTATGTCAGTTATTTATTGTTGTGAAATGTTGTGAAACATTAATTTCAGTAACTTATTATTTAAAGTTATTTGTTATTATAAAAAAGGTAGTCATAATGAATGACCCAAGGGATTGAAAGCACCAGGCCATGTCACCATATCAACAGCACAGTGTAATTTAAGAACAATTGATTTAAAACACAGAAAAAGGAGCAATGGACTACACAACATTTTGTGGTTAATTTAAAGCAAATTAAGCTCAGTAAACTAATAGAAGCCAAGCAAGACTAAGACTCGGTTACAAAGTTTTTTTAACCTTTTCGTAGACTGCATAATGTTATTTTTTAATAACATTTGACTTTGGTTGTTATTATTCTCTCTGTGCATTTGGCATTAAGACTTTCAAAATGAAATTCCCAGAAACTTACTTGACAACAAGAGAAATACATTTAAACGTACAGGACCTATTTAAGCTATTTCAGATGCTTGGTTGATGTGAACTTTGAGTTGGTTGTCTCTTTCTCAGAAAGCACAATGAGTGCAATTTACATGCTTTCATTAGCCGAAGAGTGTCAGGAGATTATCATATGCAGTATTGTTTTGTGAATGCAGGATTGAAGACCACTTGCTGCATGTAGTTTTAAACATTAGTGTTCTTGAATTGGTAAGAGCCTGCAGCATTTGCAGTGCAGTGGAATTTGTGTGTAACTAATGGAGAACTTCATTTCATACTCCTTAGAAAATTATTCTGTTCTTCCAAAAAGCACACAGTAATACCTTCCTAGGGGCACAACAGTTTGCACTAGAAAGTGAAAAACAGTAGGGCATGTAAGTAGTGCTGGCAGCTGTTTCTGATGCTAAAGCTTCAGTATAGATTTTGGCTTGCCTTGCCCACAAAGGTAAATTATTTTTGCTTCTGGTGATACAGTGAATGGATATGAATAACAGAACAGTCTTGGAAGGAAATTTTAGTTTTATTGTTCCTGTTCTGTCTTGGCATTTAATTTTGGGACTCTTTGCTATCTTTTGCAGTTGGAGACAACCCCCGCAGAATTTAGGCAGCACTGACACTAACCAGGCACCTTCATTTATTTTATCTTAGAGTAAATTAAAAAACAGTGCTTTCACAATCTAATGTGCAAACTTTGTCCAGAAACCCTGAAGCAGATTGCTTGTATGCATGTCCTGTGCATATTAATTTTCAGACATATCGCTCTACAAGTCAGTCAAATGATAAAGTACAGATAGAGAGAGTAATTTTATAAAATTATTTACAAAACAATTGAGAAGGAACGAGCAGCTTTTTGAGATGGGAGCTTTTTGAAAGACACAACACAGAATCCAAGATAATTTGATTTCTTCCTAAGAAACGTAAAATTGACAGTTAAATTTAGAATTTCTGATGATAAAGTTCAAAGGTCACACGAGGTGTGATTTATATGTAAAAATATACTTAGGGGACTCTCTCTATCTGACTCCGCATTATGATCAGTACCTGGGCTGCCTGTCATTCTGTCAAACAGATAGTGTGCTAAAAGATTTGGCACAGATTTAAGAATTATGTGTAATAAAAATAATACCAACTTTGATTTATAAAGTGCCTTTCCAAACCCTAGAATGCTGTACATAGTGATAAAAAAAGACAAAAAAGTACTATAAAAAGTAAAAGAAAAAATAAATGAGTGAACATATTTATATGGTACAGCTAGAATGTAGAGCTGTCAGATGTAGGCTGTGGTAAAAAGGTAAGCTTTGAGTTTGGATTGGAAGAGAATCAAAAAATCTTTCTCTCGTAGAAAGGATATTCCATAGAAATGTGTAATACTGTACAGTGAGATTATCATTAACAACAGCCCAGCTCTGAAACCTGGCATCAGTATTTGATACGTAATCACCACTACACTACTGCTTACACATAGACC